GCCTCCGGGGACGGGGACGGGGACGGGGACGGGGACGCGCGGCCGGAGTTTGTCCCCGCCTGCGACCTGGGGAAGCTGGAGACTTTCCTCCCCTACCCCTCCCCTACTCCGGAGCCCGGCCCGCTCTGTTGCTCCTCGTCCCCTCCGGGCACCGGGACGGGAGCGACTCTGGGGTCCTGGCGCCTCAGCGCTCTCCCTGTCTCTGTGTCTCTGTCTCTCCTCCCCTATTGCCTCTCTCCAGCGTCCCGCTCCACGCGTCCCCTCATCCCGAGGGTGACAAGTTCCGCATCCATCTCCCCTCCCCACGAGGAGGCCGGCGCCCCTGCCTCGCCCTCCCCTCGGGGTGCGCGGGGGTCCCTGCAGGCCCCCGCAGCCTTCCCGACTGTCGAGGCCGGGCGAACAGGGACTCGGGCTCAGCGGCCGCCCTGTTGCTCGTCTGCATCCAGGGCTTCCGAAGTTGGAAAGTTGGGGGAGAAAGGGTGGCCGCGAGGACCAGGCAGAGCTTGTTGCCGGGGTGACTCGAGGCCACGCCGCACGGTCCGGGGCGGGACTCTGCAGGGGGCGTCCCCCGGGTTGGGGGAGCGGGGCTCCCTCAGGCAGCTGCGCCTGTGGCCGGGACCCAGCCGCCCCGGAGAGGGCGAGGTTGCCTGCGGCACTGCGCGGAGGGGAGGCCGCCTGGCACTGGCGCGGGAGGACGGCGTGCGCCCGGGAACCGACCCGGGGCGCAGCCAAGGAGGAAGGGGCTGCCTTTGAAGAGGGGTCACCCCCACGGCCCTGCTGGCCTGGAAGATGGAGACTGAGGACTCCGGCCTTGGGGGTATCCGAACAGGTCCCAGACTCCGCGCTGGGGGCCGGAGGGTGTTACTGAATATGTATCAGTACTGGCTGGGTCTCCACGCAGCGCGCCGGATTGTGGCGTGTTTCTTGTTGCTTCCTCCCAAGTCTTGCTTGTGGGAGCTTAGCTCCACTCTAGAGGTCACTATGGGGACACAACTTTATCTTGTGGCTCCAGCTTGCCGTTTAATTGTTGCAGATGACTCGAACAACTTCCTGGAAAGGGTTAAGAGCTGTTTCTTAATTCCTGACAAAACATTACTACAGGATGCCGGGGATTTTTTTATTTTTTTATTTTTTCTGAAACTGCAACCTGCAGATAACATTGTATTGCAATGTATTTCCTGAAAATACCGCTTTTGTAAAAGAGCAGAGTCCTTAAACCTCTGATTTCCCCCATTAATTAGTACATGTCTATAGAGGAAGATCAGTGGAAGAATGAGAGAATATAACCATCCTCAGACACTTTCCTGTCCTTATCATAATATATAAAAAAAAAATGAATCTAAGACCACACTGACAGGGCGCATTAGCTACAGTTTTGGTTCGCTCCTTCTTCATGGAACCATATGGCGCGATGGGGGAAACGGAAAGATTGGTTTTGAGCACTGATGCTGTGCCCGTCCATTGGCAGGAATACATTTCGTGCCCACCCCGAACCTTGCAGATTGTAAGTGGTCCAGGAATAGTGCACACATTTTTTACAGTTTTACACTACGTGGCAGCTGGAGACAGTCTTATCCTAGAAATTAATAGCCTTAGCAGCAGCACAAAAAGATACAAAAGAGACCAGTTAATGAGCAGTGACCTCATGTAAGAAATTTGGTGAAAAAGACGCCTCCCTTTCACTCCTGTCTCCCCCTAAAACACCAAGAAGTTTTTGTTTTGTGTGTCAACGTGGAATTGTGTTAAATATATTTAATTTGATGGTGATATAATGGGAGAATATAGGTAATGGAGTGTTGCCACTGAAGTGTTAATAACCAGGTTTTTCTAACACTTGTGGTCTCAAGAAATTTCATAGTAATTCTTTAAAAATAAGGTTTTCGCATGCTACGTGTTTTTCTTAAAGAAAAAGTTATGTTATTTAGCTCCTGTTGGTTTGTCTTTCTCTCTCTTCCCCTAAAGTTAAACTTTTTAGTTTTTAAAAAATCAGTTCATTTATCATTCTTTAGAACAAAAGATCCTTTAAAAATCCTTGGAGTTTCATATTAGTAGAATTAATTGCTGATATTTTAGAGATGACATAAGCAAACCTGAAAGGTGCAATCCATTGATTTACCTCGGTTTTGTCTTTTACGAGGACTGTGGGTGACTTAGGGCCACGCCCACAGTTCCGGAAGGGCCTCTGGAAGCGGGTGTCCCCGGGACTAGAGGGAGGAGGGCTCCTACACCATTTCTAGCTGCACACAATTTCTGGGCCTTTTTGGCAGGCTACTGGGGTGAACTTTGTTGGGTAATAAAAGCTTAGCACTATTCCACGCTGCATTGATTATCCTTTTATGGGAGCTGCTTCTGGGCGACACCGCACGGGGGACAGACCATTTGTTGGATCTTGTGACAGGCAAGTCGCTCATTGGCTTGTGAAGTCCTAGCAATAGAGACTACATATCTCTAACAGCTGTGAATTGGCTGAAAGGAAATGCAGTTTCTTAACACTGGCAGAAGAGTAAAACCTCTTGGTGGAATTTTTCCAGGGAATACTAGAATTTATTTTTAATATCCAAAGGACAGCTTTTCAAAAAGGCAAATGGAATCTTAATGCAATATTTTATAATGTTTGAATAAAAATCCTGTAGTCCATGGCCAGTAAGTGTTACAAATATGTTAGTTACATTGTTATAGTGATATTGATCCAACCCCCTTTCCAACATTAGTACAAGGATTTCTTGCACAATTACTTACATTTAAAGATCTAGTTATGCTTGGAGTCATTCATTCATTCATTCACTCATTCATTCAAGCACATGTATATTGAGCCCAGTTTCTGTGCAAAACAGATTACAATGATGAATGTAATGAGGAGTCTAAAAGAAGGCCTGGAAGGACCAGGCAAACAAATACATGAGCCAGAATATTTCACCTAGTAATTAATACTATGAAGAAATGAAACAGGATAATTTGCTAGAAAACTACTATGAGATTACTTTAAATTGTCTTAACAGGCGATAACTGCATTGAGAAACAAATAATAGAGAGCAATTTCCATGTCAAGAACTGGAACACAGCAAGCACTACAGGCCTTCAGGCAGGACTGAGGCTGCAGCTCAGCAGGGTCCCAGGGGAAAGGAAGGCCACCTTGCCTGGAGAGAACAGTAGAGACAGGTAGACAGAGAGATAAGATCTTTCTGGCCATGATAAGCAGTGTAGATTTTTTTTTGGTGGTACTAGGGATTGAATTTAGGGACTTTGCCCTAAGCTATGTTTTCAGCTTTATTTTTAGGTTTGAGACAGGTTCTTAAATCACTAAATTTTCTGGGCTCAGCTTGAACTTTGTTGCCTCAGCCTCCTGGAGTACTGAGATGATAGGCACGCATCGCCATGGCTACTAGAAAGCAGATTTCAAGTTAAGTGGAAACCAGCAGGATACTTCTTTGATATTTAGGGCTATAGTCCTATTTGCAAGGATGATTTCAAGGATGATGTCTTTCCTCCATCCATCATTAGGCCGAGTATTGTGACTCAGTAGCCTTCACTTGTATAAACATTTCAATTTATACTCACATGTCACCTCTTCCTGTTCATCAAAAATACTGTCAATATTTTAGGTTGACATATTGATAGTGCGTTTAGGAATATCTGTTTAAAAAACAATTCTGGATAGAATGAGGACTAATTTAACATTTTGTTAGAAATGATTAGATTAGATACCTACCCAGCAAGCCACTCAAAGCTAGTAAATCTTAGGAGAAATATATTGGAAGGGTAGAATGGGGGATTCTATATTGTGTGGTAGGTGGAATGTGAAAGCTAGTGTGGGGGGCTCCTAGGTAACAGAGAAAGGCCCATGAAAGGACAGTGATACTGGGAACTCAGGGAAGCTTTTCAGACAACAGTAGCCAATTGATGGTTTTGCCAAGAGAAGAAGCAGCTTCATGTGATTGTGTTCCAAGAGAAACACTCTAATTCAAAGCACAAAGGAAGTTTAAATCAATGTACCTATGCTTTTGGCTGTTCTTTTAGTAGTGAAGCAGTTGTAACAATGACAGCACACAGGCTTTCAGAAGGTAGTTTTCAGTTTCATGTAATCAGGATTACGTTGTTCAAAACTCACAAATGAAGATATAATAATATTGACAATGACTATCATCTGTTGGAAGGAGCTAGTTAGCAGGAAAATTACGCTCTTGGGTCTCAGATTTTACTACAGCAATGTTGGCAAGCAAGAGATGGGCTTTGTGGGATGACTCTCTTTACCCTAAACATTCGTGACTAGAAGATGCATGGTATTTAGGGAAGATATAAATAATGGTTATTTTAAAGCTCTCCACTGCCTACTTCCACCTCCAAATGGTCTGCTTCTTTGCCAAGGGGTAGTAATGAAAAATATACTAAGAATTTCTGTACCTTTAGGGCTTTGCTGACTCCACACCCCTTTTTCTTTGTACTCCAAGTAACTCTTGGTGGGGTGGCAGGGCTGGTGGTACCTCAGGGATTATGTCAGTGTGACACTGTAACACAGTGTGTTTATGACATCAGTTTCTTTTCGCAGCAGTGAGTGTCATAGAAGGTTAGCAAGAAGGCTCAGTATTCATAGTTGCTGACAGAATGATACAGTGAGAGGTCAGTGATGCTGCTAACATAGTCTGTATTTTAAAAAAATGAAATTTATTATTTGAGTGTATAGAGTGTATATAAGTCAAGAAATACATATATTCAGATATGTGTATGCAATTTGTGTGTATATGTGGTGAATTCCTTACTAGATAGCTATTTCTCTCTATATAATATAGCTATATAAGATATTTATATCCAAATATAAACTGGGCACCTCTTTATATATATACATACTTGTACATATGTGTATGTATGTGGAAAGAGAGGGAGGAGAGCTTTGTTCCCCTGTATATTCAGAGTTTATTCTTCGTACATGTGAGCATGGTGATATTTTCTACATTTTATATGTGAACAAATTGAGAAACAGATGTTAAATGCTTTCTTGAGTCTAATAGTAATTGCTGAATTGGATAGAAGCCTACCCAAACCCTGACACTCTTTTATTTTCTGTTTTCACAATTCTAATACCTGTTTCTTTTCCCAAGACCTATCAAGTCTAATATGGAAAGGTAGATTATCAACTTTTTCCCCCTACTGATTCAGAATATGGTATCTTTTCATACTTTCCTTAGAAGTATCACAGCTTTATTGTTAGTGATCTGCTGTTAAAATGAGAAATACGTTGTGAACAACAAGTAGGCTAACTGTTCATAGATGCTAAGGTGATGTCTTAGAGGTCTGAGGCTTCTCTGGAGATGGAGACAAGGTGAACCAATGTTATTACTGCTTGAAGTGGTATAAACAGGAAAATGCTGGGACCAATTGAGATAACTTTGCTGTCCATTTGACCTCTGTGGTAGTCAGCCTTCAAGATGGCTGCCAGTGTTCCTCACCTACTGGTGTTCACATTTCTGAGTGCTTCCTCCCTAGGCTGGAGCCGGGCCTACTTGTGTGACTCACAAAATACGAAGGAGGAGTAGGCACAGTAAAGACATTGCAATTTCTGCCTTGCTCTCATGTGCTCTTTGCTGTTGTATGTTGCTGTTTTTACTGTGAGAACATTAACTGTCCTTTGAGAGGCCATGTGTGAAGGCCTCCTCCTAACAGCCAGGACCAGCTTGCCGATCGTGTGAATGACCTGCCTTGGAGATGGGTCTCCAGCCCAGTGAAGCTTTCAGGTATTTGCAACCCCTGCCAATATCGGACCAAATTTCATGATTAAGCCAGACCCAGGACTGCCCAAACATGCTGCTTCTGGGTTCCCAAATCACAGAACCTGTGAGAGAAAGTACGTTCTTACTGTTGTCTTAAGCCACTTAATTTTGAGGTGATTTGTTATATAATATTAGATAATGAGTAGACCTGTGGTTCATTATTTTTGTCCCTCTAAGTTGGGAGGTAGGGATCCTCTTGTGGGTGTGTAACTATTAGGGGATATGTGTGTGTGTGTGTAAGAATATTAATAAAACCTCTGCACTATCATGGTATTAATTTACTTATTTATGCAGTGACTCTAGGATTTGTTCTGAACCTCATCTGCTGCGTTCAGGTCCTGGGGGAAAAAGAAAGAGCACATTAATTCACAATCTTCATTACTAGACTCAGCATTGGCCTTGAATCTTTACCCTCTTTTCTAATTTGTGAAATGGGATTAAAGCCTGAAATTCCCTTTTCCTAATTCCCTTGAGCTCCTTTGAGCAGCTTATTTCCTCCTCTGCCTTTTCTGGGTACTTGTACCTCGTTCTTTTGCTTCCCTTAGGTGAGAAGTTAACTTCCAAATACAAGCACCGCTGAAGTAAACATCAGAGTGATAAAACATAAAAGACCTCACATCCCCAAATACTGAAAGGTGTCACAGCTCCCTGTACTGAAAACCCAGAAGTCTCTTGAAACCCCAAATCGTCCATTCTTCCCACAAAAAACAGTATGTGAAATAATAAGTTCATAGTTTGATCTAGCCACTCTGTAAGCTGTAGGTGCATTATAAATACATACATTAAAAAAATAAAGAAATAGAAAACAAAAACTTAAAATGCACCAATAAAAATACTTCCAAAACTTTTTATCTTCTCCTCCCTCCCAAAGAATCTTTCCTCCCTCTCATCCCAGCTAGTCCTTTGATGGATAACCAGGAGAGTGAGAAAGAGAAGAAAGAAAAAAAGAGAGGGCTGCCATCTCTTCTGCTTCAGGGTGGGATATCAGTCTATTTTATTCACTTATTGGTGTGCTCATTCAGAAAGTATAATTGGATCACTCACTTGGTGTGAAACACTATACTGTGTTTGGGATACATCAGAGAACAAATCGGAGCCTTCATAAAATATGTGCTCTAGACAGGGAAAACAGACTGAATAATAAACAGAAATAAACTGTTGGGATTAAAAGCTGAAAAGTGCTGAGAGAAAGACAAAAGAGATTAAGGGAGATTTGGAGCAGAGGTGATGAGATGCTGGGAGGACCAGCTGAGGACATTCACAGAGTGGTTAATGTAGGCTTCACCAAAAAGTTAATGTGAAAATCAGGTAATCATCCACACAAAGGGAGAAGATGCAGAAAGGGGAAAGTCAGAGCAAAGGCCCCAACTGAGTGTACATCTGCACTGTTTCACTAACAGAAAGAAAGCTAAGTGAAATTAATAAAACGGATACAAATACAAAAAATGGTCAGGATGATGAGGGAGGACCAGATCACATTAGACCCTTCAGATAATTTTAAGAACTTTGGCCTTTCCCCTGAGCGACATGAACAGAGGGGTAATGTGGTTTTTTTTTTTCTTTTTTTTTTTTTTTCGTCTTTTTGGAGACAGGATCTCACTATGCAGTTCAGGCTGGCTTGGAGCTCACTTTGTAGCCCAGGCTCGTCTTGAACTTGCAACAATTGTCCTGCCTCAGCCTCCCGAGTGCTGGGATTACAGGTGTGCGCCACCACGCCTAGCCAGAGGAGTAATATGATATGACTTATATTTTAAAAGAATTGCTGAGGTCGCTGTGCTGAAAATGTCAACGCAATAGCAGGGTACGAGTTCCTGAGTTCTGTTCCCGGTACCAAATAAAAGAAAAACAAAAAAGAAACACAATAGCAGGGTAAAGAGAGAAGCTGAAAGCCTGTAAGTAATCTTTTGCAATGTCAGTTAAGAATTTCTTTTTTATGGCTAAATTATATATACAAATATATATATGTAAAATTATTTGTGTATATATAATTAAATATTTCAGTAGATAGACTCTTGGCTTGTTTGTATATCTGGATTATCATCAATAGTGCGGCAGTAAACATAGAGTACAAGTGTACTCCTGGAGATACTGATTTCATTTCCTTTGGATATTTACTCCAAAATGAGATTGCTGGATCATACGATAATTCTGTTTTTAATTTTTCCAGGAACCCCATAGTGGGTAATGTAATGGCTATACCATTTCACACTACTATCAACAGTGTACAGGAGTTCTCTTTTCCTTGTAATCGTATGTAATGGCTATACCATTTCACACTACTATCAACAGTGTACAGGAGTTCTCTTTTCCTTGTACTCTGGCCAGAACTTGTTGCCTCTTCCCTTTTTGGTAACAGCCAGCCTAGGTGTGAGGTGATCTCTGATTATGGTTTTCATTACCATGTCTCTGATGATGAGTGATGTTGGGCACCTTCTCATATACATCTCACCCACTTGTTTGTCTTCTTTGGAAACGTGTATTCATGATGCTTGCCTACTTTTTAATTGGGCTATTTGCTTTTCTGCAGTTGGTGTGTGAACAACATAGTAAGTGATAAAATAAACCAGGCACAGAGAATGCTGTCACTTACATAACAATATAAAAAAGTTGAACTCACAGGAAGCAGAGATTAGAATGTTGGTTTCCAGAGGCTGGGGTCTGTGGAAATGAGATGTAATCAAAGGTTACAGACATGCATTCTAAACTATGGAATTCTAATATACACTATACAGGTGTTGGGGGATGTGTTATTTAATTTGGTGGTGATAATCATTGAACCACTTGTATGTCAAATCACCATGCCGTATACCTTGACTATACAAAATCTTTATCACTTACATGTTTGGAAATAAAAATAAATAAAGAATTGTTTACACTGATAATAATTTGAAAAATGAAGGCTATCTATCAGAATCATAGCAATAAAGGACAGGAGAAATAGATGCTGCATATATTTTTAAGGCAGGACTAATAGTATTTTGTAAGCTAACAGGTGAGAGAGAAAAAAATGAACTGTGCAGGATTCCACAGTCCTGGGCCTGAATATCTAAGAGGATGGAGTTGACATCGGCTGATTTTGAAAGATTGTGAATTTAAAAGGATGGATCAGGTGTTCAGTTTTGGATTCATTTCTGTTTGAGATATTTATTTATATCTGAGTGCCAATAACAAGGAGGAAGTTGTATATGAGTCTAGAATCTCAGAGAGAGGCTTGGGTGGATGACATGAATTTGAGCCATTGGTACCTAAGTGATATTTGGGGCTCTGGACCAGACCACTCCCTGGAAATTGAATGTAGCTTGAGAGAAATGGTTGGAACACAGGGTTAAAATGTTAGTGAGAAGGAGAAGAATAGTAAAGGAGATTAAGAAAGAGCAACTGGTGAGTAGGGAAGAAATTAAGAGCTTGGAGGTAGGTCCTGGAGCCAAGGAAGAAAGTGTATCAAGGGGAAGATTAATCAACTGTGCCAAGTGTTGCTGATAGTTCAACTATGAAATGACTGCGAATTTATTAATGTGAGGGTCCCATTAAGCATAGCGGTGGCAGTAATGCTCTGGATGGTGAAGAAAGAATTAGGAAGACAAGAATGAGAGGCAGCACAACTCTCCTGAGGAATTTTGCTGCAAAGGAAGCTAAAAAATGATGCTCTGGCTAGGAAAGGGAGTTTTTAACATGGAAGAAATATTAGCAAGTTTTATTCTTGTCTCTTACTATTGTATTTGC